CTTTCTCTCGCCTTCCCCATGTTCTCATTGCCTATAATGTGTTGTTTGGATGTGATACATGGCTTGCGTTTTCCCTTAGAATTCATATAAGTATGTCGTTTGCTTAATATATATATATATATATATATATTAATACAAACATGCAAAATTGTAAAGTTCATAGTTTTAGCATTTTTAAAACTGATGATCATACATTTGTTGTATCGTTTAAATAGTTCTCTGTATTGTTACATATTTGATCATGAGATTGTGTACGTGTATGCATTTTTATATGCATATATATATATATATATATATATATATATATGCGCATGTGTAGACGCCTGTGTATCACTTACGACTTCGAAGAACATTGATACCTTGTGTATTCATTTGAAATCAGTACATTCGTCAGTTAGGTAACCAAACTGTGCATTTGTGTCAACTATTCAACAAACATTAAGTATTTATGAAATGAAAGGTGTTTAAAACAGCTAAATTATTCAGTCACTCATGTTATACACCGACATAGAGGTTTCTTCACCTCTGATTATATCAAAGTATGTATTGGTGATGATGATTAGCCTCCAACCCTATTGCTAATGACACAAGATTGTACGCCAAAGTTAAAGAATAGCGATCTCGAGAGAACGTACGCACCAATGACCCTTCTAAAGGCGAATTTGAGTCTCTAACTCAACCACAACCCTAATCTTCCTATAAACTAACTTCAACCTATTCTTTGTGCGTCAGTGGCATAGCAGTTAGCCCGCTGTCCGAACATGCACATGGCCCGGGGTTCTATCCCTGGCCGACGCACCCCTTTACCTCACTAAGCCAGTTATAAAGCTGGTAAAGAGAAAAGGTTAGGCATGAGGCTAGCAACCTCATCCTGTAAAAATAAACACTGCTACAGAAAATTCAAGCCTTCTAGCTTGAAGCCCTATGTTCCACTTAATCCTTTCTGTTGTCTCTCCCTAACCTAACCTTAATCGAAGCCTAACATATTCCTAGAAGATCCCTTACCATAGTCTTTCGTTATCCTGACACTAGACTGACTAGATATCCCGTTTAATAATCTCCACCTGCTTCACCGATTTTCTGTGAATATAGTGATTTTTACCTGGTTTCACTCACCAACTCTCTCTGCTTGTGCATTTCAAGGTTTTTGGTGCCTACATTCCCCTGGGTTGCTCTTTTTTTTTTCTAACATGGCCAATTGTATAGCCAGGTATCTCGTGAATAACGTTGTGCCCAGTGTACCAAATACTCGTGTCCATTATTTCAGCAGGCGTGTGTGAGTTATTGGACTTTCAATTTTTTCACTTTAATCTCAATCATATGACTGACAGTAGGAGAATCGATCATCAGCTTTGTATGTGTATGTGTGTGTACGTGTGTGTGTGTGTGTTTTCCTTTGTTTGAGACAACTACTCAAAGAAGAGCGAATGAATAAACCTCCAATCACGAAGTCGGGAAATCAATTAATCCTCTGATAAGATGATAACAAAGGGATAGAGAGATGACTTAGTTTTTCAAAAGAAAAGAGACATGAAAATTGTTATTGTAATTCATAGAAATTAATTACTTCATGGTTAATTTGAGTAACTGAGGTTTTGTTAACATTGTGTGGGGGTTAGTGACAAGGTGAGTGAGAATGAATCTCATTGCCTCTCACATCTCAAGCATCGATAGTTCAATTGTAGAACGCTTGGCAGACGCCACACGAGAGATCCGGCTTCGATTCTTGGTTGGCACACTTGAAAGTCTTGCCTAATTTACTAGCAGGTAATAATCTCGGAACAGGAGTAAGACAAGCTGAATGCCTATTATCACCGATGATGGTATTCTTAGTTGTGGCGGACTGGATTATGCGTCAGACTGTGTACAGGGAGCGAGAAGACAGGAATACGCGGGACTGGCGAGGAGACTCTAGAAAATCTGGAATTCGCAGATGATTTATGTTTACTGTCACACAAACTCAAAGACTTTACAAGCGAAAACCAACAAACTGGCTGAAAACAGAACTCCAAGTGAACATAGAGAAGACTGAGGTGGTGAAGATAACCAACCAACAGCAACGACAACCAGCTCTAATCACCACCAACGGGAGAGATTTAACAGAGGTTACCTCCTTCACTTACCTAGGATGCATGGTTTCAATCATAGGCAGTCGGAATGCATGAAGATGTCAAAATCGGTCAGCCAGCCAGAATCGGAAGGGCAAGATACTCCCTCATCAACCTGAAACCACTTTAGAAACCTTCTCCACTCCGCCTCAATATCAAGAAGGTGATTCCGATTATCAACACCAAAGTCAAGTCAGTCCTTCTATTACGGGTCAGAAACTTGCACTGCGTATCCGTCACGAAAAGGATTTCCAAAAGGTGGCAGACTTTCATCAACAGCTGTCTTCCCCTCCATACTGAAGATCAAATGGTCAGAAAGAATTGGTAACAAGAAAATATGGGAACAAACCAACCAAGAGCAGATAGCTCAACAAATATGTTAGGAGAAAATGGAGATGGATCGGTCAAACACTGAGGAGACATCGCTTGCCGGGTCATCGCTAGAGTGGAATCCCAATGGGAACCGACGAGTGGGTTGTCAGTTCGAAGATGACATGGTGGAGATCGTGTGAGGAAGAGATAAGATAGTTTGGGTAATCGTGGATCCAGCTGAAGAGGACGGCAGAGAAAAGAAGAAGGTGGAGATGTGTTTTTGGAGCCTTATGTTCCACTCGGAACCCAAGGTTAGAGTAATAGTAATAATGGAGAAACTTACGTTGACTAGTGATTCCTATCTACTGGCTTCAAACATCTAAAGCATGGGTGTTTTCAATCACCTGTTAGTGTATTTTTGTAACCATCTAACTGACTGGATATTACTTGCCCACGGAGTTGGTAGAAGTTGGTTGGATTATACCATCCTTCCCTTCACATTTCCAAACTCCCCATTTCTATTAAAGTGCATCATGTGTACTTTTTGCATTTTTTCTTACCACTAATATAAATTCTATTTTCGTCGATCAGTCTCTTTTAGCATTGTGTATTTGCGCATAAGTTTATTCCCCCGATATGTGCATAAATGCGTATTTGTACTTTTATCACAAGACTTCATCATGATTCAACTTTCTTCCTTATTGAATTTTTTCCTCCAAAAAATATAGATGAACTAAGTACGTTAATAATTAGTAACAAAATTAATAATGACAATGCGCAAAATTGAACTAACCACATCACATGTTTCTTTAATGTTCGCTAGTTCGCATCTATTGTTGACTGGAGTATCATGTGTGTTCAGAATAGTGTATACACGGGGTGGAAGATTTCTTGTTCTATTGTATTTCAAAACAGTAAGTCTCTGATTCGGTGGCCAGTCTTATGGTTGTGGAATAAACACTAATCATTCAGTATTTTGCAAGTGCATCGGTGCCACAGCGGTTAGGACTCTCGCCGACCATGAACATGGTCCGGGGTTCAATCCCCTGCCGACGCACGCCTGATATCTATCGTCGGCCTGCGAAATTTGGGGTACCGATATCACATGCTGAAAATTCCATACCTGTACCAAAAATACGGTGTGGAATCAAGCTGTAATCAAAAGAAATGTTGACTATGAATCAATAAATTCACTTGGTGAAGTGGGGAAAAAGGCATATCTATCATTCTGATGCTTCTTCTCTTCGTAGGAAAACTACCGGTGAAATTGTTTCATAAAACTAATTGGTGGATGGTGACTAGCAGTGAAATCCAGGGTGTGCGTTTCGTCCCATTTGAGGCTCGTCATCTGGATGCACCTGCATTCCACAGTGAGTGATGATGTTCCCACCGAGGCTCAAACCCGGTGCCCATAGTTTAAAACTCCAAAACGTTATCCACTAGACCACTTGGGCCATGACAGCCACCTGTTATGCAACTGGTCATATTAATTATTTAATTCAATTTTAGATTTTCCCGTCGATTGATTGGAGCGAAATGCTCGGAATGCAAGTACATTCGGTTGTCGGGTCTCAGATGGGACGAAATCCGCATCTTGGATTCCAATGCTAGTCAACATCCACCAATTAACTTCTAATTTCATGTCCACACATCTTCGAAGCATCTGCACTAGAAGCCGATATGTCAACCTGAGACCGAGCACTTCGGTTCAATCAATCAACGGGAAATCTAAAATTGAGTTAAATGTTTAGTAAAAAGTTTTCTTTGGTTGATACGGTCTAACTGAATGGTGACAATATCAGAGACTATGTGTTCTCATGAACACAGTGGATATTCATACACGCACACACACATAGAGGCTAAAGCACGTCAGACTTCACTTTTGAAATATCTCAAGTCAGGTTCTCAGGAGAGGTTAGAGTGACGATCATTTATTGTTTTGGCATGTATCATATGTGTATGAAAAAGTGGATTGCTATATTTCTACCAAAAGGCTTAAATTCAGTCCTTAATCAGAATCCACCTACTTACATAGAGTTGAATGGATTATTATCTAAGCGATTTACAAAGCACCAGTTAAATTTGTCTTAGAACTCAATAATCCTCCAAAACCATTCACACCATTTTCACTGAAAAATGTTACGGTACTATACGGAGGTTTTTTCCTTAGTTTGTCTTTACCTACATATACAGCTGAGTAGAACTTCTTAAACTTCAGACTTTTAATGTTTTCAGAATAGTCTGAGGAGACTGCCCATCCTTTATGACATTTTTTTTAAAACCAACTGGTGTTAGCTTAGGTGCATCTTATATTTGAAAGTGTTTCTCTGTAGTTCACGGCTTCAAACTAGGTTCACCTGCCTAGGTTTGGGCAGCCAATACGAAACGTTAGCCTATTTTTGATAGTCCATTCATTCGAAAAAATCCTTGTGAATTCAACACCTGAGAACCGTATAAACACTTCATTTATTCATTATCATGGGTAAGTTACTTAGATCCCTAGTAAAAATACTACTATACTATGTTTAAGCAGTTTGAACTTATTTCCAGTATTCTATACCTTTTTAAATCCTTAAACAGTGTGGAAATTCGAGGAGCTGCTACAATTCTAGATGTGAGCTTTTCAGCTAAATCACTGTCAGGAGATGAAGACACCTGGTCACAGGTTATAAATGAATTATTGATCGAGCTAAGACAGTGTCGTCGTCGAGCAGACAATCTAGTCAACCGAATCATCCGAACGGAAAAACAACGTTGTGTCCTTGAGACATTTGCAGACAGTCTATCACGTCGTGAGGATGAAATACTGTTCAGCGGAAATCATCATGGTCCCGCTGCATCAACAGGCGCACAGAATCATACAGCTGCGACAGACCAGTTGAATAATATTCCATCACAAACAGCACAAAGTGGACAGCTGACAACTTTGAGTGCAGAACACAAAAGTACAACTGATGTAAGTCATTCATATTTCACTCGCTAGTACTGTTCAGCTTGCGTGTGCTAGCTATTATAATTTTTAAAGTTACTTTCGAGAACCTGGTATTCTTTTTAAATGAAAGTCTATCTATGCAGTACTAAAATACAACAGTGTATGAATTTAGTAAACATGTTTCTATTAGTCTGTTGGTATTGTCGACGAATGTAGGGTTATATGAATGTTGTTCTTGAAGATTTTTTACTGGCTGTTAAGTCGTGTAGGCTTTTAACTATCCACTCTGGATTTAAACCAGCACTAAAAAGTTCAGTCTATTCAGTTATGTATTACGCATTATTTATTATTATTTTTCCCCTGGGTTCTGAGTAGAACATGGAACTTCAACAGCACATCTCCACTTTGCCCTATTTTCTGTTGTCCTCTTCAGCTGGGTCCATGGTTACCCACAATATATCTCTCATCTTCTCCTTGCCACACGATCTCCTCCATGTCATCTTCGCACCGACGACCCACTCGTTATTCCCCATTGGGATTCTACTCAAGCTATGTTTTGCATTAGGCACGATATCATTCGACGGTCTCCTCAGTATTTGCCCATTCCATCTCCATTTTCTCCTACGTGTATGTTGGACGCATTAAGTCGTCTTAAAGAATTTATGCTTGACTTTGTCGCTGCACTCACTTCTATGTCAACCAAAAGACTCAACAGCGAAAGAAGATAAAACCAACATCATCTACAAAATAAATTGTAACAACTGCGAAAAGCACTACATTGGTCAAAGTGGACGTCCCCTTCGTCTTCGTATCCACGAACATAAGCTAGCCGTCAAAAGATATGATATCCACTCCCTCATTTCACTACACACAGACAACCACGGACATCAATTCAACTGGGACAACGTTCAAATATTAGACAAAGGAAATAACAAGAATGCTAGAGAATTTTTAGAAGCTTGGCATTCCAGTGAATCATCAATCAATAGACACATCGAGATAGACAAAATTTATCAACCAATAAGAAAGAGACTTCACACACAAAGGGTCAAAGTTCAAGTCAAAGAAACAGTCAGTTCCAATACAAGTAACCTAGAAGGTGTGAAAACACACATAAACAACCAATCACGTCCAAGGTCACCAGGAGGAATGATTAATAAACTCGTGGATAAACCTAAAAGCTCACTTCAAATTGAAGTATGCGCTGAAGATGTCACCCAGTAGGGTGATGAAAGCTTCGCAAACTAACCATCCAGCTCAGAGAACAAAACCACATCAAAATGGTAGAAATACTCGAAAGTTATGCATGCTGTCCAGGTTCGATTCCCAGTCGACGCAAACCTCCCAAACCTCACCTAGTTAACTACCGATGGGTAGTAGGCGCAGAAAAGAGGGAAGGTCAAGTGCTAGGCTAACAACCCCGCCTCCCGAAAAAAGAGATAAAATCATCACTACTAAAACTTCAAAGCCCAACATTGCAAAGCCTGTGCTCCACTTGGAACTGAAAGAAATGAAAAAGAAAAATTTAGTTTGACTTTTCTTTACAGTTTTCCAGAGAACTGGTTTGTTATTCTGAATGTTCTTTAGCCTGGAACTAGATTAACTGAACCCTTATATATATACATATATGCTTCAAGTGGGAGTGCCTCATTTCAAGGGTTATTTAACATCAGCAAACAATGAAAGCGGAATTCCGTTCCCCTTTGAGTTTATATACACTAGCTATACAGCAAAAGCAAACTGAAGTATGAAAACAATACATTAATTATATTATCCTGAAACTGGGAAGCTGATAGGCGTTAATATAGAGATCGTTGATGCTTTGAATTTCCGGATTGTTTGTTTGTTTGTCTTGGTGTGTGCAGGCTTTTTAATCATTTGTTAATACTTTAATTGAAATATACTGTCAGGAAATTGTGTACTTATTTGTTCGGTGGCAGGAATGGAAGGGGGTGGATATTGTTCCCTCAGTATCACTTCGATAAAGGCACATGTTTTTAGAGAAGTAGCCTTTAGGATACACGTGACCTGTAGGTTGTTAAATCATACATACATCCGATATATATACATATATGTATATATATATATATATATCATTCTTTTATAGTGACCACCTGTAGTGTTACTGTTATGTCAAAAGCCCATCCACTGTACCGATGTTGCCATTTCATAACTGACAGAAGCTCATACTACTTGGCATACTAACCTTCACAGTATTTGTGGACTGATTGCATAGATTGACTTTGAATGTATAAAAAAATAGTTCATCAACCCAAGAATATCTCCGGTTGAATCGTATAAGAGAAGGAAGAAATGCATAAGAATCGAAGTGGTCATCAGCTTTATACTAAAAAAGTGTGTAGGGGTATAGTACAGGTTCGCTGATTCTGAAGGTTTTAAATAGCATAGATATAAGGTGTTTGATTGTCGCACTCCTAATAGAGCCACTATTACGCTTTTGCAGCCATGCAGGATAGTGTTCTCGAACCCTTTTAGACGGGATACGTGTCGAGCGGCCAATGTACACCTGGCTTCGCAGTAACAGGCGTCGTCAAAACTTCTGAAAGGAAGCATATGGTCTTCACATGTGTTTGTCTTCTTCGGCGTGGAGGCATCGTCTAATAAATTACTAATCTAGTCATTACCATGCAAGGTTTTGAATCCGCATAGGATGATGAATAAGATACCGAGTTAAAGCATGTACACTAGAGGATTCAGTGTCTGGGCATGCCAGTAGTGTTTTCCCACTAGTGTGATTGCTGCCCTCCTGACAACCAAAACCAGATAATCTTCAGTCCTCTACCCTGGCCCATATTGACAACTAGGGAACTAAATAGATCTGTGCAAATGTAGTGCCTAGCTCCGGCCAGGTTGTACGTCTACAACGGATACTCTACTCCTTAGAAGGGAGCCCTGTAAACGTTATAGGGGATGATAAATCCGTTCCTATTTGGTTTGCACTTATACCAAATAGAAATTGGGAATGAAATAGAAGCATTTCACTTAGGCAGAAGTATGACAAGTCTGTAGGTAGGAGGCTGTGGTTGTTTCGTGTCGACACTTATCATCATCACATTACATTCTGGAATTTCGTCATGCGAAAATAATAATTGAAATTAATAGAAATTGTGAGTCATAGTAAAATTCAACTCAGACAAGTGTGTATGCATACAAGCATCGCAGTACTGGGTTCTCTGATCTACACCTTCGGACGTATACTCAGGACTTAGTCTGACCTCAAGTAAGAGTTGTTTTATTTTACTCATTTCATGTACAGTTTGACTCACTCATCGTTGCATTTTTGGCAGAGCAGCCAATAGTTGGAGGTGGAATGCTATTTATTGAGCTTTTTAGTCAATGCATGGATTACAAGACGACTAGTTTGAAGGCTATCTGTTCAAATCTCTCTAATATTCTTAATTTTGTATTGAAAACTAAATCCTATTCTCAGATTTTAACCGTATCAAAGTCTACCTGAGATATAGTTCGCGTTGAAGTGAAAATATTTTCTCATTACATGCAGGCATGCATGTTCATATTTTTTTGAAATCGAAACTGCCTTTCACAAAGTGAGGGATTGTCGTTTACTTCATAATTTTAAATGGTTGGAGTACTTTGCTAATACAAAGCACACACACACACACAAACGCATTCACATAAATATATTTCACAATATACCCCTTGCCTTCTCTCTAATAATAACAGCATCGAAATTTCGATTGACTGTTTTCTCACAGTAAAACAAAACTTTGTTTTTGATGGTTTTTTTATTCAGATAACTTTTTGTTGTTGTTGTTATTGTTGAGAGTATTATCTTTCTTCACTTTTTTGCTGTCGTTTTCAATCGAGTGTTTGGGTTGTTTGTATGCTTTTTTTCTGCTTTGTGTTGTGTTTTCAATATGAGAAGCGAAATTTAATTCTCACAAGGAATTCACAAACTTCGGTACTTGCGAACAGAAAGAACGAAACAAACACAGATGCACACACACACACGAGAACAAACTGGTGTGCTCATTTTCACTCATAACACCTTACGTAATCAATCTGTGACTGACTAAATAGTTAAGTGTATATTCGATGTACTTTTTGTTTAGTCTCTTAACTTATGAAAATGCATGATTGTAGTACACTAATTGGCATTGTATCACTCGTTCACTTACACGTCATGATGGACTACTTTCAGAATATTTTGATTGAAAGGGTATTTCATTCTTTCAGTACTTAAAAACTGCTTTTATTAACTAATTTACAAAGAGAGAATTATTCAAAAGCTAAGTCTCCACTAGAAAAGTTTACTCGAAAAGCTAAACTTAACGGGTGAGACAATTCTCAAGATGGTCTTCTGTAGTCGCGTTTTCGACTTGCCTTATTGATGTTACTCGGTGTAGACATTTCTGCAGTTGTTATTTACATCCTAACAGTACACACTGTCTCGATAGCCGTGTACTAATCCCTCTGGTTCACTGCTAGAAGTATACCGACGTCTTTCATAATTCACATAATCTGCAGTTTTAAACAGTTTTTGTTACCAACCAGTGTCAATTTTCTGTTTAATTTCTACACTTCTGATTAACAGGTGTGTTTTGACTGGATTCCACCGTTCTTGCTACGATCAGTCCTTCCCGAGCCTCTTATCAGAAGCATCTTGTGTCACTTGTCTTTTGGTTTGGTGTCTACTGAAGACATCACCTTACATGCCACCTATAAGCATTAAGTAGTGCAGATCACAAAGATATCAATTCCTTTGAATGCGAATCGATATGCCAATAATGAAATCGACAATTTACACCTCATTTTAAGAGTATTCATTGTTCGTGTTGAATTTTCTCATTGCTCGGTAGTTTTTAAACTAATCAGGACTCATGTCTACAGGAACTGAGATCACTGAATAGTGCATTTACTAGATAACATTTAGAACACCAAGTAGGCACCTAGAGATTTTTGGAATTATTGTTCAGAATCGTAACTACTAATTTTCTTAGTACTTAGTACTGAACCGTGCATCTCAATGGTGTATACATAAGAGAAGAGTTCATGAAATATATGTTGTTTTGTGGCCAGTGTACATTTATTGATGGCAATATATATATATATATATATATATATATATATATATATATATATATATATATATATATATATATATATATATATATAACAAAGAATAATGTAATTCAGTGTAATATTGAGGCAGATAGCAGGAGATGAATGTCCATGTATCAACAGAAGTTGATCAGTTCAGATCTGTGAGATTATGTAGACCGGAAAATGCACGACAACAGGTAACAACCCATGAGTATTTGGACCATCCATGTGCTACTCTTTCCTCTTATGCATAAACCGTCTGGTTGATGGAAGTTACTAAGTGGTGAATAAAATAGTTAGTGGTCTGAACACATTTTGAATATTCACCAAGTGTTAATAACCATTTTAAGGTATATATATATCTGATATAAATACTGGTTATATATATATACCGCATTAGGAATTTAATTTACCTGCATTGTTTTCTATTATCGTTTTTACTTTACTTAAAGAAAAACCCAATTTTTCATATTTATTTGGTAATCAGATCACTAATCCATATGATCCAAGAAATGTGGAGACGTTGCACAGATTTTTGGAGATATACAAAGATGAAGCTGAACGCTTTGATACAGTTCTAATGGATACTAATGAAGAGCTGGAACAAGTGCGTACACGGATTGAAACACTAGAAAAAGAAATTCACGACATAGAACTAAAACAGGATGAACATTTAGCTAGGTAATAATAATAACTTTTTCTGTTTCCCTTTCAGTTGTTATTATTGTTGTTATCATAACTATTAGTATTATTCACCCATAAGTCTACAAAGGCATATCTTCATTCCACTCAGTTCTCTGCATTCATTTTCAGCTGGCTGACTTCACAAATGCCCACAGGTTTTATTTTTCTTTTCACACAATTTCCTGCATGTCACACTTGGACTACATTCAATCTATTGCTTATCTTTCGAGCTCCACTTGACCACCTCATGTGTGATGTTAGTCACTTGAATGACTTCTCAGCCTATGTACAATCCATCTCTATTTCCTTCTGCACAATTTGTTTGTTGAGAAATAAGTTGTTGCCCATTGTCATCGTCTGTCACCATTCCTTATTACTTTTCCATTCTAGCTGACCATCTAATCCTCAATACCGAAGTAGAGAAGACGGTTGGTTGTTGATGAGTGTTTGCAGTCTGTTTGGAATGCGTGCATCAAGTCTCACTACTATATAGTAGCACTGATTTGAGATTAGTTCTGTTCCTTGTTCTGAGTGCTGTTTATCTTCACATGGATTTTCGACTAATGAACACCTGTTTTGCTGTCTTGGTCCGAACCTGGCTGCCCTTGATATGCTTATCTGTGCCGCATGTACTTGAAGTGATACTGCCAAGACAAGGGAAAGAGATGACATTTTCTTTGGGTTGCTTGGGTTACCAGGGAATCTTCATCACCTATTTCTTCTCCATGTTCATCAGAAGTTCGGTATCTTCTGCCAGCTTGTTGGTTTTCCCTTGTATTTCTTCTGGCTTAGGCGATATCAAACCTTAAGTCTCTTCTGATATCCACATTTTCTAACTCTCTACAGTATAGGTTACAGGATTCGTCATGAGCTGACATCAGTTAGAGAACCATTGAAAAATCAGCTGGGAGTATTGGAAAGCTGTTTCGTCAGCCTAGTTTGGGACTCTTCATCAGTACGCACCCACTAGGGGTCGAAGCCAGAACCTTCTGGTTATAAGGCGAGCTCCTATACCATTAATTCACTTGGACCCGATCTAATGGCCCATGAATTTTTAACTTCTGCTAATTCAATTCTGGGCCATTGGATCGGCTCCCATTGGCTTAATGGTCTACCAGTCAAATCCCTACAAACCAACACTTGAATCTCTACAGTCTGTCGCATGACCCTGTCTATCTTAATCAGGAACATTGTCGGTGATTGTAGACAGTCTTGACTTAATCCTGCCTTCACTTAGAAGTCTTCAGTGAACTTTCAGTTGTGAATTAACTGGCATGTAGCATGACCATATTGGCTGCTGAGTGACGTTTATAGATCTCTGTGGTACTTCACTTCTAATAATTGTGTTATATATAAATTTCACTAGCAAATATAAAGGACAGTATGCGATACATATTTCGCTAGTTAGCGCTCTAATATCCTTTTGTTTTGTTTTTGACTGAATGAATTATCGATTATTTAGGTGTGAAATAATTAAATTAACCATTTCATGTTTATAAGAACTTTACTCAACACGCTCACTTGTGATAGTGATTATCGTGAAAAGCTTTTAAGGAATAAGGTATAACTGAAAGTTGTGTGTACATAAAGAAGAGTGTGGTATAATGAAGCTATTTGCTAAAAGAAAAACTCACATGGCTAATCTATCATCTGTCAGCTAAATACCAGAAATGCGAAAGGCTTAAAGAAATTCGCTTTTTATTAATGCTGAATATTTTCTCTTTTACGGATATATATATATATATATGTATAATTTGTTTGTCGGTCTGAGTGTGCGTGTTTATGTGCATAGAATTACCCAGCGTGTTATACATTTTTCTATAAGCTAACCTTCACTCTTGAACATTCGACCAAGCTTGCTGTATAGTAGGCGAAATGTGAAGTACGTCATTCTAATGAGAATCAAAATACTCTTTTTGAGAAAGGTCGTTTTAGGCTGAAACATCTCAGCCATACCACTAACCCCCTCCATTAATGTCGTGGATATTCCCGTCAGGGTATAGTGCATATGGCCTCGTCGTCTTCTTCTCCCGGCCTACCTCATGTTATTCTCACATTCCAGTAGTAAATTCCAATTTGATCTTTGAAAGTTTTTAAATGAAATGATCATAGAATTTCACTATCAGCCTTTGGGTCACGGTTCCGAACCTCACAACATCACTTGAGGTTTAGGAAGTCAGGCAGAATCGTCAGCCTCATACAGCAATAGGTATGGCTTATTACTGATTGGATGTAGATACAAGCGGTCAATAAGTAACATCTCAAGCCCTATCCTCTTCTCAGTCACCTGTGGACTGACGAGGCGAACCAGCTTCCCAGTAGTGGTTCGGTTAAAACTCTGGATTCTAGAATAAAACTATATAAAGTTAATTCGTAACTGCAGAAGGCAAGACACGGAAGCAAAGGTATATTTTCCATTGATCAAACCACTGTTTATACATACACAGTTTATATTATTTAACCAATCACTTAGCATGTGATTTTGGTTCACATTAAACGACATGAAATAGAATGTTCAAATATGCATATGTAGTATTCCGTTGCTAACTCAGTGCTGAACTGTGTGGAAAGCATTCCTACTCTAACAGCAAATAGAATGTTCAAATAAATATATGTACTATTCTGTTACTAATGCACTATTAAACTATCGGAATAGCGTTCAGACGTTAACACCAACAAATACAATGATTCTGCATACATTTGGTTCCCTTGATAAATTTCCATAAAGAAAGGAAGACGAAATTTGCAGTATAAAGGGATATCATTATATTTCACAGGATCTTACCAACTACAGACTACCTGAAACTGCAATGTTTATATAGATAATAATAACAAACTTTAATGTTTAAGTGGTAGTAGTAGAGAAGAAACACTATTAAACTGACGCATCCAAAATGTAAGCAGTACAAAATTTTTAGTTTAAGTTTTCATCATCAATCTATACGCTTTCAAAGTAGAAAAGAGGGGGAAGGGATAAGACAGAAAAGAATTAATGAGCATTGTTAGCTTTTAGGTTCACATAGGAACTCAAAAAAGAAAAACAAAAACGGTTACAGTTTATATGATTGAGATCTGTTCAGTGAGTTGAGATCACTGAAATAGGTGACTAATTAATGTAATCTAAATCTAAATTCAGTTCCCAAGGGAGTGAGAGGTTAATCACACTCTCTTTTTGTATGTATAAGTCTGCTTTGAATCGTTTGATTGCGATCGCTTCGGTAAATCGTAGTAAATTTGCTGTCTTTTTTCTAATTAATATATTGAAGGACTAAGAAATCTCTACGAGATGACCGGTATCAACAATACGTCTGGTAATTGCACCCTGAAAATATCTGCTTCCTTTCAGGCACAGGTTTCTTGAAATATGTTCAGAAAAACGGATAGAAGCCCTTCTTTCAGTCCTTCCAGTGTACTTGCTCCCGCAAGTGCACGTAAATTCATAAACGCAGTTCGATGTGACATCAGCAGCGTATTTATCCAGTTGTGAGTGGCTTATAAATGATTCTTACTGTGAGAATAATATTCCGTTGGAACCCATTGTCTGTATCACACCACCACAAATTAATTTTTAACGAAGGCAGTCTACTTCGTGAGAAAGAGTCATTCAAAACCATTCACTTTTTTGTTGTTCTTATATAGGATTGGTTATCACTGCCACCCTAATGATCGTATCACTTCTCAGTGTAGGACCTTTAACTGCAAAGTTAGCTTTTATTACTCGGTCAGTGGACACCAGTGGCCAATAAGTTCTTACTTAGCTGAAAGTAACTGCTTTCGTTATTCTTCAAACCAATATACTAGTGGTCAAGTACTTATAGAGTATTTAACACTTCCTAAGGCCAGTTCGCAGTGGAAATAGATGAATGGCATTTAGCGTGTTACAGAGTTCTTTTAGGAATGGGAAGTAATGAAATTCAGTGGACAGCACATAATTGTCAGACTATTTTTACTCCAGCATTATCGCCGTTGAATTATATTCTGCTGAATAATCCTTTGCGTTAGATATTAGGAGTCAGTCGTCCGGAATTTCTATCTCACTTAGATGCGGTACCTCTTGGTAATTATCGGCTGTGTTCGTCTGCAGCTTTAAGTAAATCTAGCGCCTCTTTGAAGTTCAACCCTGAATCAATAAGAACCGAAAGTATATCACTGAACCGATGGTAATTCGTGCAGTTGTCTGGCCCTGAATGCTGGTTGAAGTCTGTCAGGGGAGCGCGGTCATTAAACTAAGCAGTGCAACACCAGCGTGAACTATCAGTTTAGCTGCTAGAAAGCCGTCGACAGAAAATCATGCTGTTCAACTATGAACCTCATACAACTCATGACATGGCTCATCTAAGTTAAAAGACGTTTACTTGGATTACAAAGACTATAGTTTCTTGCAGATGTTCGTGAAAGTCTTTAATAGCCTGTTGAAAATTATTTTGATGATACGCGCTCCAAGTCTCAGTACTATATAGACATGTGTGTTGTAGACTTAAACCTTGTTTCTTGTGCTTTGTTCGGAAGATTTTCACTTTGACTGCAGGGTAATGAACGCCTACCTTGTTTCCCCGATTCAATCTTAAGTGGGTTTATAATCCTCATCTGTGGCACCAGTAGTTGAAACGATGATGCCAAGTTAAGTGAAATAAAAAGAAAGCGTGTTCCCAAATGGTTAGAAGATCAAATGAACTGTGAAAAATCGGTAGACTTGGGTGGCAGACTGCCAACTTCGTTTATGTAGCTAGACACTTAATCGACATAAATCATAAAACTGATGTCAAAACAGCCTACCTTGATATTCCTTATCTGATTACATAACCAAACGTGGTGTTAATTATTCTTACTATTCTTGTTCTTAAATCCTTTGTCACTTTGTTTATTTATTGTAATTGGTTTTTATTTCCCACATAAATTGACTTGACACGTAAATAAGTCATCAGATTGTTTGAAAAATACATATTGCACGAATACATCACATATTTCAGATAATCTCTGTCTTCCAATAGCACTATCCAAATAGGCGACTTCCTTGAATTTTCTCGCCTTGATGGTGATTAGTACTCTCTGTCGATTGGGCGTCTTCATCACCTCTATCTGCTTTATTTTTCCCAGACTGTGGTGAATATTGTTTCTGACACTTTCTACCTTCTATCGTATTATTTGAGCGATGAAAATCCCTTTTGCAAATCCTAATACGTGAATTACCGCCCCCCCCTTACCCTGTATTTCCACGGTGGTCACGTTTCAAACTTCGCAAACAAGTTGCTAACTATGAATGAAGACTGCCATGTTCACATGTTCAACTGTAGCATAGATCTGAATTATGGATAAGCATTTCTACACACTGTTAAGCTAATTTTCGTGCATTAACCTTTTGTATAAATGTATACCCGTAAAATAGGATACTGGGGATTTGTCTAACCAACTTTAGGAATTGACATGCCGTTATTTTTTCAAGGACTAGTCTTTTACTGCCGCTCAACTGAAGCTCCCTTCAACAGCTATAACCTAATGTTATATTCAAGTGTGTAATGTAGGATTGTTAACACGACCGAAACCTACAAACTCACTTAGAAACAAACTATATCGGTTGAAGGATTCTGTGTTAAACAAAATAATTTAGTTTATCTAATACCTTGGAGCTGTTTGTCAGGTTGAATGCATACAATTCAAAGTAGTTGCTTGGGATCACAGTTAGCCTAGTAGTGCACAAAATCCTAGCGAAATAAGTCATTCAGACAAAAATAAACTCAGTACTAAATGTGGTCACACACACACACAACCATACAATCGAATGTGTTAGGGAGGTAGTCTTAACGTCAAATGTCACAGAGTCGAGGGAGAGACGGATAACTGAAGCTTTATTTATACAATCAACGGAGAACACATGCAACAGAAATGCTTCAGCACTTGTCTAGGACATCTGGAAGATGCTACTCCTTTGAAAAATGAGAAGGAACGACAGATTGTGTTCGAATCGTCGTTCAGCAAACAATACTGTTTCCACTATGCGCAATATATCCGATATACAAATTATTATGAAAGTATACGTACTGACAGGAATGCTCAATTTTTTTTACACACAAATGTTATGTTGTCTACTTTTATCAAATAAAGTGTCTAATAATTAGTTTTACTTTTTTTTGCCTACCAGGTGTTTACATTTAGCATTATCATAAAAGTCAAAATATTAATTAACGTGTATATTGAACATTGATCAAGTATAAGTGATTGAGCTAATTCAAGGTTGACAATAAATAAATAATTAATTAATTAATACACTTTGTTGTCGAAAATCACTCATAACTTGTCGTTTTAGTAGTGTACATTGTTATTTATCAAAATTACTTTATAGTCTCTCTAGTGAATATAAAATATGCATGAATGCAATGAATATGTCAACTACGCTGGTTAACTGCAGCTGAGAATGCCTACCACCTCAGAGAGAGAGATACAGAGTAGGGAAAAATGTTTTATTTCTCACTATTTATTTGTGTTTTCGTTCATCACCTTTCTCTTTCCTTCAATTTAAAATTCGATTGTATGCTGCTGCCTATGGTTATTACGGGTTAAAATGTTGGAAAAGGAGTGAGCGCTAGAGAGAGAGAGAGAGTGGCAATAATCTAATTTATTTGACACTGACTTATTGATTTTCTCCTACATACCATAGAATGCTTGAATGTGATTGGTCATTCAGTGAGTCAGGGCTACAATCGCCGTTCTCTTCTGTCTATTTGCTTATCGACATAGAAATGCTATACAATTTTATTGTATCTATCTAATTATGCTTATTTTGCCCATAGGAATATCCGCATAGTGTTCATATGTATGTGTGCGTGTAGGTGTGTGTGGTAAATTAACGTAGTCATGCTTCCAGTGCAGCTTCACCATGCTGGATATTTCTATCTATATGATTGATCGATGAACTGCATGAGTCACTTGTTGTTTACTAGAGAGAGTAGACATATTTTTCTAATCCCTGATTAGGTAGATAAGTAGGTAGGTAGGTAGGTATACGTGATTGCCTTATTTTCTTTTTCGGTCATCAGATAGATATATTTGAAGCAGTGATGAGGAAAATATACTTTCTTTGTATCTTCTTAATTCAAATGATTAATCGAAGTAGCCGTAGCATCACCAGTTCACTCAGTTAAATTTGATGGGTAAAAACTGTCTCATCTGGGCGAATCAATATTTGTACAAATATTGGTTTTGGTCAAATCGGTCATTATTTAAAATTAACGCCAATTTAAGTCTCCCAGTCGAGAGTTTTCAAACAACAAGGAAGATTTACAATTACCTTGAATAGTGGCTTAAATATTTCGAGGAGAATCATAGTGAACTTCTAGTCATAAAGATTTAGTCTCTGTCGTATAGTTAGGGTAGTTCTTTTTTCAAATTGTAGAAATATAGAAACATTGCTTAAGAAATAAATAAATATGGGGAGTTGTTGATATTACTTGGCTGTAGACAGTCTTCAAGAAGCCTTGCGCCTAGGCTTCATGCTAGTCTGCACTCGTCAGCAAGGCGTATCTTCAACCTTGAAGGAACTCATGTCCCTTCTGAGATTCAAACCCGCGTCACCCAGTGATGTAGTGAGAGACGTTACTACCGCACTATTTAGCCTCTAATATCAACAGTCCATAGTGCACCGTGATGGCGACCCACCTAGTTGTGTACTGGCCACATTACAAGCTTGACTGATAGGAGTCAGTCTGCACCAAACAAAGGACTAGACATATTACACTAGTTACTTGACTGGTGTGCAGTCAAAATATGGGGAATATTTCCTTGATGTTATTTTTATATTTCCCAGCTGGTTATTGATTTAGACTGTGCGCTTATTCGTTCCTTGTGTTCTGAGTGGCTTCAGCGACATACTTCCCCTGTACTCTGTTCTCTGTTATTTTTCCTGGTTGGCTGCACAACTGCCCATAAGCTGTCATTTACATGATCTCCGTGTCCCTCTCGATCGCCCAACTAGTCAGTCTCCTTTTAGGACGTGCTCAGTGTATATCCAATCCAACCCCGTTTCCTTCTGCATATCCTCAGCATCGAAGGGCGCAGAAGTTGATTAAAGTCTACACAAGTCTGTCGGGAATGCTTTTGGTGACACATAGACTTTGAAAGTTCTGGCTTACAGGATCATCTGAACTCATGTTACACGCGGGCTTATGTTTTCTGAATACAATTAAAAATATACACTGAAGTTACCTTAGATGTACGTAGCTCAGTGTGTAGAATATTTCGCAAAGACTGTAAGTCTGCATTGTTAACGACGGTTTGTGCATCACTGAGATGTTTGGCATCATTTAGATTTCAGCACAGCTTTAGCTCACTGCGGTACTTATTACTTACACTCTCGTCAGACGTTAGAATGCATCGGTCATTTAATTCCATCCTATTAGCTATATGGCCATCGCACCTGACCTCATAACCTGAAAGTCTTGCGTCCGATCTCTGTTAGGATCATGGATGCATTCTGCCGAAGAGTTCAGTATCTACTGGTTCTCAATGTTTCTCTGACTGATATGGCTTCATAAAGAATTCTGTACTGCATTTAATTAAAATCCCCACAGAACCGAAAGAAATGAATGTTAATTTTGACTGTGAATGACTTCATGTTTCTTCTTTTTTTACTTCCAGAGAACTAAGTGTACTTGTTGAACCAAGGGAAACTGGTCAAGTAGAGATGCTTGTGTCGTATGTGGTTGGTCGATGTGGATGGAAGCCAGCCTATGATATTCGTATTTTCAATAATGATGGAACAATGAAAGCAAGTTCCCCAGTTGTTTTTTTCTTTTTGGCTAATGCATTTGTAACACTCCGCTACAGCAACAATGATATCTGTTTTTGGCAAAGTTAAATTTTAAGCACCGCCAACTACTAATCAGCGAATGATCTTGAACGCACCAATCACATGAAGGGGGTATTATTGATTGTCAAATACATATATTTATAAAAAAAAACGCATTAAAATTGTATAAAACTGTCACAAAGGCTACCTTTCTCTCACATATGATAAAAACATCTCCCAGTTTAGCGTAGGCGTATCAAGTGAAAAGTTATACCACATCCTATACATATATTCATCTAGATGACTATAAATATCATCCATTTGTGATCCATTGATGACTTTAATCCTGTTTTTTAAACCTTCGCCAAAACTCTTCGATAGAGTTGGTGTGGGTGCTTGTTCTCTACCACAGCAGTATTTTTTCTTCAGTAAGACAGTTTCATCTACATGTCCGACGACACCTTCTCCTCCCAGTAAGGAATTAAGCTTCTTCATCTTCTCCGAAGCGATATCCCTGCAGTGCTGGTATCACTGAACTGTTGATATGAGACTATTCTCATTTTCAGCAGCTACACCTCTCACAGGCTGTTTTAAAATCCAGTAATTACAAATATACAAAATATGAGTTAAGGACAAGTGGGACCTGGCAAAAAATGTTCCCGCGAAATATTGTAGTCATCAGCTTACCTTACCTAACAGTAAATCGTCTCAAAAAAACTGCACAACGGTGGACATATCCATCAACCGACCTACTGAAGCTTTTTATACTCATGACACCTCTGCATGAACAAATCCCTTCTTTCTTAATAAACTCCACATCCAAGCCATACTGGAAAACCTTATCCTGATCAAATCGCAAGAGCAACTGTGTGAGAGCAGGCATTTTTCTCGAATCAAGCGGAATAGAACCTTCAACTCAAGTGGGCGAAATTTATTGGACGATCCAAGATCATTCGCTGATTGGTAGTTAGTGGTGCTTAAATTTAACTTGGCGCTGTTTTATCGCTTCATTTTTTATTTGTGTATACTCTTATCAGTTTATAACTGTTATTTTATCCTTAAGTATGGATTAGTTATGCGACAGCAAATCTCTGCACTAGATTTTCATCTTCCTACTGAGATAGTACCGATGTTTAATCATAATCCAGGAGAATATCATCGTTATTTAAAACACTCTCAGCAATAAATAAAGAGTGAGTCAGTAAATAGCTGAATATTCCCAAAATGTAAGGTGGGCAAATGCGAATGCACTTATTTCTGGTAATATTCGTGAGACTGTAAAATGAATATTAGCAATAAGGACAAGACCTTTGTGTACTTGATTTTGTAGGCTTGTTCTACTGTTGAGAAACCATATTATCTGCTGTAAAAATTTGTATTAGAGTTTCAGGAGTTTTCTATCTTTCATTGCCCAACAGTTACTCTTCAGGTACACGATTTATAAACCACCAACGGGGTGTTTATGAACTCTAATGACGACTGTAATCTTAGCACAGCAGATGCCTTGGCATAACTTGATCTGTTCAGGGTTAATTTCTTGTCTTTAAAGAGACTAAAGCCAAGTCACAGTCTTCAATGGAAATAAACCCGAGTGCACCAAGCTGGCAAAGAGTGGAACTGACTAAATATCATTTGTATTCAAGTATTGGTTTGTAGGGTTTTGATTGATTGGTTACAGGATTTCATCATGAGCTGATATCCGTTAGAGAAGCACTGGAAAATCGGGGGGTACTGGGTAACTGTTTCGTCCTAGTCTGGGACTCTTCATCATACTCATCAACCGCTAGGGTTCGAGCTCAGGACCTTCTGTTTACAAGGCTGGCGAGCTCGTAGACCATTAAGCCCGATCCGACGGTCCATTTATGTTTCAAAGAATAGTCGATATGGGGACATTTAGTTTAAAAAAAAGATGTTTGGTAATGTCAACTCTCTGTGACTGGATACACTGACATCATCATCAGTTAATTCACTTTTAAGATCAGGGATTTTGACAGTCTGAATTTGTAAGGAGGATGCAGAAGTAGACACATTTGAATTGCAATATGAATTTATTAAGTATTTTTTTATCTTCATTGGTTTCTTACTTTGAATTCATCACAAAGAAGAGAAATATTTTCAAGGTTTGTCTATTGTATGAATGTGATTGTTTCTTCACACACAGAGTGTATCTTACCAACTCTATGTTTCAGCAACCTTCAGTTTTTGTGCGGGAACTTCCATGTTCTTCTGCCTGTTATTGATATGATTGTCAAGCTGTCATCAGTACCCAGAATGACTCCAAGATAGAAGCTTTGTCGACTTTGAAACCGAAACACTCAGTGTTTCTTGGTATACAGTAATGTTCTGTTTCTGATTTCGACTACCGATATGAACACCTTGGAGACTATCTATTCAGAAGACTGCAAAATAGTTAGAATTCTATCATTTTCAGAAAAAAAGATATGATTAATAATGACGGCTTTTGATGTTAGATGTTCGGAAGCCTTGTATCTAAGCTTCGTGCTAGTCAGAACTCGTCAGTAAGGCGTATCTGCAACCTTGAAGGAACTCATGTCGCTTCTGATAGAATTCATTCTGCACCAAACAAAGGACTAGACACATCACACTAGTTTCTAGTGTCCAATCAAAGTGACAGCTTTTGGACTGAATATTTTGAAAATAATCACTTACTGACATTATTCAGAGAACTATTGAAAATCAGTATGGAGTTACTGGGTAGCTACTTCGTCCTAGTTTGGGACTCTTCAGCAGTACGCATCGACCGGAGTTTGAGCCCGGGACCTTTAGTAGTACGCATCTATGACTCAAAAAAGGATTGAATCCAGGACCTTCAGGTTACAAAGGAAGTTCATTGACCACCATTCAGCTACTGGAACGCTATCTAATGGTTCATCAACTCTAACATTCGTCAATTTGCAGTATGTATATATGGCGACTGTCAGGCGATGTCATTGGCGGGTATTTGTCCTCACATGCACCTTAGTGGACCGAGCCCACTAGTCACGACTTCCAATTAGAATTTCATCCTGTAGTCACTGACTAGACTTCTAATCGAGCATCATTTTCTTACGGTGTTTTTATTTCAACATCAATCTCCTGCTTATTCGTCTCCTTCTTCTTTTTGTTGTTATTACTATTTTTGGTTATTTTAGATTGTATACTACGGAATGGTTCAACAAGCTACCGGTGAAGATTGGGAAACACGTTATATGACTTTGTCTACTGCACAGCCTGGTATAGGCGGTACAGTTCCACATTTAGGTGTTCAACGAGTACATTTTCGTAGGGAGTAAGTTGGCTATGCAATGATTAACTAGTGTCTGTTCGTTGTGTTTTTGTTGTTGTTGTTGTTATTTTTGTGGTGATGTTGTATCTGTCATCGTCATCTTAACCATCATGCAATCATTGCCAGTCCATTATCATTATCATGGTGTCTTGTTTATATATCATCTACTTTCACACTTATCATTCTAATTTTCTTAAGAACAAATTTTCACAGAAATGCATGATCTTTTAACAACACATGCTTTGATTAATATTCTACACAGTATGAAATTTCCCACCCAACTAATTTTTATATAATGCAGTATAATGCATGCTAACATCTATCTAACTGGTTTCCCTATCGGTGAAATCCTCCTTCTCAAATTACATGGTGGTTTCAAAAACTGGTGTACACGGGAGGTGGGTGTGTTCGGCTGTTACTACTACGACTTAGAGGTGTGTTTTATTTTCCGCTTCTTTTCGAAATCCACCTGTCATTTGTGCATGCTACGATTCATGCAGTAACATAATCCATTTCTGCTAAAAATGCTTTTCTGATTGAAACAATATTGGGCAAGGATTTATTTTCATAGCCTGACTTGAAGGGAACAGAACACCACCTGTTTTAAGAGAGTTTTAGCGTCGTTTCTGTGTAATAGTTAGTCTTACATTAATCTCCCCTATGTTGACATATCCCTCCTGTGTTTAAGGATGTTGGAAGGTGTTAGATCAATTGAACTATACGTCTCATCATCGTATCCATTCCGTCCTGATACTTCATAAGCGAACTTTAGCAAGCATAATAAATATGTGATAGGAAAATAAAGCTCTTATTCCTTTTACGAGTTGATCACGGATTGATATCAGTTAGAGAACCATTGAAAACCAGGGAGTACTGGACAGCTGCTGTTTCATCCTAGTTTGGGAATCATCGGCAGTACGCACCCACTGGGTTTCGAACCAAAGAAGCTTAGCTTTTACGTAAATCAACCACTGTCAATCAGGCAACCTTCAGGCTCGAACATATAGTTAGCCCACTCATGCATTACTATTATGGAAGGCTGACAACAACCATTTTTCAGTACTGGTGTGACTCAGAAATGATTTATATCTTACATTTAAGGTTATAGACACTAATGTGATTAATAAACCAATTTTTATACACACAATAAACTGTATTCATATGCACCAGACAACCAACACAATGAGGGGAAAGTAACCACATCTTGTATCTCGGATCAGGAAACACAAGTTTGAATGGGTTAGCTATCAAAAATAGTGTGATCCTTAGGTGTAGAACTTCTCAGTCCCGTTTCGGAAATTTTATTTGAAAAGATGTTCGATCGTAGCCACAAAAAATCGGAAGCTTAATTTGGAGAACTTAAAGGACACTCACTTAAAGTCAGTCTTGTAGACTAGGAGCCTTCTGAGTCATGATATCAAGTGAATTTTCGCTAAAGTTAGGAAACTTACTTCCAATTTAGGCATTTTAATTTTCCCATAAGTGTTACTGGCTCTTCGGCACCATATGTCGACGATAATACAATATATAGTTATCAACAGGCAGGTAGTACACCCGGTTTTGCTAAATTTACTTTGCGGTTTATTCCAGTTGCCGGCTGTACAATAATTCAGCATATTTCTTAGGCAACGTAAGGATTTCCATGATTTTCTTCACGACTTAGTCGCATGCTGTTTCAATGGAAGTGACTATTAGGTGTGTCATGGCTGTTGAGATTGATTCCTGTAAGAAAGTGACTTTAGAAAGTAATTTGGGATACTGTTAGACAGACACTCACACATAGTATATTTCATATTTTATGCCTGCATGACGGTTATTTTCAAACACGTATAGCATATGAATTGTTGCACAGATGTTTTGATAATCCCATTCATTATACGTATATGTATATAGTCATTCTCCAGCGATTCCTATACCACGAAATGCCATATCTGGCTCAGGAGCAACAGCCAGTGGGATAACAGGAGGAGCGTCATCAACACACTCAGGCCCAGGTGCTTCAATGTCTGGCGGTACTTCAGCGGCAGGGAAACATTCTCGGTCATGCGCTAAACTAGGTGCTTTTCGACGATCTAACCGACCAACTGGAACAAGTTTAAATGAAACAGACCGTGGATCTGTTGAAAATGAGGTGAGGTTATTGGTGTTTTATCGACTATTAATGTTTTAAAGCGATAAGCAACGAAGTGATTTATTTAAGTGAAGAGCAGGTTGGTGTCAGATGTTTAAAGGTTTCACTTAATGATTAATATTGGTTTTTTTGTACATTCAATGGATAAGATTAACTAAGAAATTTTCTTGCTAGCCACTCAGTGCTTTTATGTCCCTCCTTATACTGACTGGTTTTTCCCATTCCCTTATCCTGCTTTGATTTGTGCTTGTTTTTTTATTTATTCGGAATACGGTTGGGCTGTCATATTGAACTTACTTAAAATGCTGCTGCGCTTTAACCGAACTTCATCCAAACTCCATAGATTGATTTGTGTGTACTTCGTTCTTTTTAAGGGTGGTATAATTTATTGTTTAATTGTGTTTTTTTAATAGCGTGTCTGTATATGTGTGCATGTGAAGTATACCTGCACATTGCTTCTATCTAATTCACAAGTGTGTGCGTGTGCGCGTAATTAACCCAACCAATAAGTTATGTTAACTCACTTAAAGACAAACAATCATACCTATTCTCACCTTGTATTAAACACACACACACACACTGGCTGTGTTATTCTTCTTATGGTGATCATCATTCATCTGTGTTCTTTTACACTATTAGCAAGTCATCTGAATCTAGTCGACCGTATCAGTCTACTGAGAGATCTAATTTAAACGAAACATCATCACAACTTCCATCTGCTGGTACAATCCCACGTTATTCTCAACGTGTTTCAGCAAATGCAGCTGTATTTTATCAAACTCCACCACTTCGACGTTCTGATATGCTTCAAGGATTAACTGATACAGTGGCATATGAAAGTGATCGGCTTGCTATAGCCTATGACAATTCAACTGAACAATATTCTACACTGGGAAGAAGTGATAGTATGGCGTCATCTACACTGACCTCGTCGATTGGACGTCGAAATAAAATATATCCAAGGTCAAAATCACGTGAAACACTACGCCCTTCATCTCAGGTGTGCATAGCTAGTGCACTATTGCATTATAAATGATAATATTTTACTTCATGAAAAGTGAATTTTTCGCATATATATATATATTAACTGATATTTGTATTCCTTATAATAAGTGGAATGACTTGAAATCCCCAGTAGACGTTTCATTTGTACGACGTGACTGCTAGTTTTTAGCAATGTCACTACTGATCGAAGTGATATCATAGCATAGTATACATTTCTGCTGTTGTATTTCAGGGATATATTAGTCAGAAGGCTTTTCAGCAGTATAGTTTCTATGCATATTGGTACTCATTCACAAGACGTGTACACATGACCTGCCACCATTGGGTATGGACGACTAAGAGATTAACAATCAGTTGTTAAGATCACAGTATTTTTATAGGAGGACTGGACATTGCATTGGTGTTGGTTGGAATTTTATTGATGGGTGGTGTGTGTGTGTGTGTGTGGAGGGATTGAAAAGGTATTTTTAATGTCAGTCAAAAGCTTATCTGGCTTTTTGTCAGTTGAACGTATCTTCAGTTTATGTCGTACAGTACTAATGGGACTGTTTTATGCCTGAACGGAAATCAGTATAAAAACGTGTACCGCGAAGGTGTATTGTACTGATGAAGACACTGATACATTTGTACAAGAACTTATGGAGAGTTCTAATCTGAAGTGAGAACAATGAGTGTCCAATAGGGGGGCGTCCATCAACACTGTCCACAGTCACCATTCTTATTTTAATTATAAATGTACTGTCGGATGTAACCCTGGTTGACTTGGTTTGCTACCAGAGATGAGTCTCATTAAATTAGTTCACCTTAATGGAGACAGTGAAAAAAATTCGGAGTCTCCCGAACACTCTGAGCAAGTATGTCTAGCATTCAGTTCTCCCTATGGAAAGTGAAATAAATCTAAAGAACTGGTCTCCACTAACGCAACGCGTAGTCTAAGGGTGAAAAGTGGAATTGTTGAATATGTTGACCACCACACTTATTTTTGGAAGTCATATCAGCCAGAATAGACTGCTTACTGACGAAATTACAACGCGGATACAGGGGTCAACTCGCTTCATATCTGGTATGTAGGAGTGATATTCGTCTATCTTTCAAATGACATATATGCAATATGTAGCAGTTTTCTCCGTCCTGTTTTACAGCTGTGAGACTTTGAAGGTAGTTTGTCGTTTTAGATTGTGTAACATAGTCAGTAAAAGTGAGAGTCAGGCATACAGTATTAGGTATCTATGGTGGTCTGTTATGTTGAGCCACATACGGTGGTGTAGACTGTCGTATATTGAGAGTTATTGATTAAAAACTGTTGGCGACATGCCTTGAAGTCGTCCTTAGTGGTGCAGATGAGTTCACTCCTTCAGGTCTTTCAGTTTCCGAGTATTCACCTTAGTGCTTATCTAATTATTCTCTATCCCCTGCACATCTCAGTCCACTGCAGTTTCATTACACTTTGTTTACTCTTAATTGTGTGTAATTTTCCAAAGTGTGGCAACTTGGACTGCTGGAAATTTGTGCGAAGTTCAGCCTTAAAAAGTCAGCTGTAGGCTAAGCACAACCACATATCTTGATGGTTCGTGTATAGTTTAAATAATTTGCTTTCCCTATGTGATTTGAAACGCTGATAAATAATCTCCTTTCACATGTTCCTAAATTTGTCTGGATGGTAAATCCTAGGTACACTTGAATACTAGTCGACGCCTTGTATTCGAAAACTCTTTTTCCAAAAGTCCTATTATTATCTGAAGGATTGTTTCGTCTTGCTTGATATCTATTTCACATTAAAGTCAATTCTGCACAGTGTTAGATATTAGAAGTCAGTAGTTAGAAGTTTACAAACCCAGTTTAGTTTTTAGGTTAAATGAGATAAATTTGATAAAACTGCAAAAATTATTATTCTCTTAAGGATAGAATAAAAGTGACTCTTCAGTTGTTAGTTTTTATATTCGCGGATTTCGAAAATTGTAGTGTTTTTATTCCCATCAACGAACAAACCCTATTGGTCTAGGTTTTCTTTTCAAACTGCAAATGAGTTTGTTTTATCTATCCTTCATATGTGAATGAGATTTTCATGCACTCTTTTATGTTTTAATGATTTATGATTTACGAGGAAACTCCATTAGTCAAAGTTAAGATACTTTGTTATTTTCCTTCTTCGACTGATTGGAGGATTTCATCATGAGCTCACATCGGTTGGGGAACCATTGGAAAACCACCTGGGAGTACTGAACATCTGTTTCGTTCTAGTTGGGACTCTTCATCAGTGCTCATTGACCGGGGTTTGAAAGCGAGACCTTCCGCGCCATTGGCTCGAGTTGAGTCCCAGTGGCTTACAAGCTTGCCTTGTAACCAGAAGGTCCTGACTTCAAGCCCTGGAGGTGGGTGCGTACTGATGTAGATTCCCAAACTAGAACGAAACAGCTGTCCATTACTTCCAGGTTTCCCAATGCTTCTCTAACCGATGTCAGCTCATGGTGAAGTCATCCGACCAAGCAAACAGAATCCCTGCAAACCAATACTTGAAAATTTGCCTTCTTCATTGATGTAATTTTTAACTTACAAAACTGTACTTAGAGCAGGTGGTAGTGCACTGAGATTTATACATAAGTATTTCCTCTAGCTTTGTACACTCAATGAGAATTCGTACACCATCACCAGGGATAATCAACAAAACTGTTTATTTCCACAGCACTAATTTTAAATTACCTTCAAGATGAGATTTCTGCGTCTTGACTAGTTACGCTGGTTGTAGGGACGCAAACATGAAGAATAACACTGCAAGAATGCTGCAGCATACTATTAGCAGACATGATTCGAAAAATATAGAAATACTGAATTGCAACACAATCGCTGAATGCTAACATCCTCGCCTTAGGATTTAACGATCCTGGAACGATCTCCTGATGAAGTGAAGAGTGTATAAAGAGTAGCAAACTAGCATGGAGAAAATATCCAAGACTGTTCTGTCACACACCTCTCTACTTTATATTAACTCTACGAATAGTAACACTAAATTAGGTATACGATTGATTCAGAGCAGGAATATAGGGCCGTATGTTTCTCACTTTACAAATCATCTATTAAACTTACTGTAGGCTATAATGATATCCACGTTTAAACTAGTTTTTGTGGCATTCTCTCTGTCTCCATATATATATATATATATATATATATATATATATATATATATATATATATATATATATATATATATATATATATATATATATATATATATATATATATATATATATATATATATGTCGCGCAAATAAGACTGAACAATTTGTCTCACATTTCTGGGATAGTTGTTTTGCTATATTTTCACGCTGATCATCATAGCCATTACTATCATTAATAATGACAGATTGAATCTTCTTTTACTATTTCTAATTTCACGATGATACAGACAGATATATTTGTTTTTTCTCAGTCTCACATTTGACATTTTTTCCTTGTTCATGATATCTGTTTTGAAGTAGCACTGCTGTTCATTTTTCCATTCAGAAAAAAGGCAATATATTTGATACGGTCAATAGTATACCTATAGACACGTGTGTATGTATGCGTCTATGAGTTACAAATGGTGATCAGACGTCGTTATTCGACTTATGTTTTGTGTGTCATTTTTCAACAGATGGCACGGTAAAATAGACACCTTAATTATGGCTTGTGTATGATTTATTGCAGAAATACTTGTGATTTAGCGACTAACACACTATATTGTACTCTTGAGGACTGTTGGTGTGGTAGACTTTTAATTTAGTAATAATTCTCTAAAGAGTTTACCCTTTGAAAGATAATTCTCTGTGAGTTAATCATCAAGTTATAGTCAATGTATCCGTCACATCCTTGGTGTTGAGTGCAGTCTACCTACAAATTGTTTAGATTTTATTAACCGAACAGTAGGTAATCCTACGTTGCTTGAGTTTTTGCAATCATTGGTAAAACGTGTCTGAATTGATCTATATTTTCCCTGAAGTTAAAGCTATCAGGTCACTGGGAGAAACATTTAGATAGACGCCATTGCTTTGATGAAGGAAAAATCCTCACAAAATGAATGGCTATGGCTGTTTTAATATGAGTAACACCTGATGGTGAACCTCATTTCACTACATATTAGAGCTATAATTATTCAGTTAAGTCCAAACGAGATTTCTGTGCTATGTTAGTTGTCAACCTGTTGGTATCCAGTTGTCATTGTCTTGACCAGACTGTGTTGGTGTCCAGCTATAGTTTCATCTTATCATCCTGATTTTTCATTGATTTTTTTAAATATCCGTTTTAACTGACTGATTCAGGTGATACAGAAATAAAAGATACAGACTTAGAGATAGACCAACTAATTGAAACTCTCTCAGGGTCAACAGTTCACGCTTACGTCATTAGGTCATTAAGAAATTGCAATAGGACAATAGATATAGTCTTATCCTTGAACAAGGAAAGGTGGTTAACACTGATTTTGTAAAATAGAAGAACATTGTGCAAAACAGTTTCAGTCGGTTCACTGGAAAATATAAAAACAAAAACACGCGGCACATTGAAAATTGTATAAATTTTATAACCAACTCAGTGCTTCTCGGCCACGTGGAATTATAGTCTTTTGTGCGAGGATGCACATTGTCTCTCTGAATGATCATTTCCAGTGTGAAGAGGTGTCAGTTACTAACTTAGGCGTCTTGCCGTCGACTAGCAGACTATGCGTGTGTGTGTGTGTGTCCAAGTTCGTAATACTGTATGCTGGTCATGGCAACTGGGGAGTATCTCACTTCCGCTGTAAAATGGTAACTAGGTTATATTTATTATTAGTTTGTTTACTTACTATTTTCATCTTAATGAGTTGGTTAGCTGTCCTTCACAAAACTATGTATGATACGCTCTCTGACATTACTTATAAATTTTCATTTTTAAAAAGTATCATATACAGCTTAATCCTCGAAATTTGTAACGAATAAAATCTACCTACACAAGAAAAACTATTGTAACAACAGAAGACAAGGGATAGGAAACAGATCGTTTATTGAGAAGATCAAGAGATATTTATAGATTTTTATGTTCATTATTATAAGCGTTATTGTTAGCAGAGATGCAACTTCTTCTGATTGATTGTTTTCTTGCTCAAGGTTATTTTGTACTGCTTGTAAGTGTTTCTTAAAAAGCTAAGTCATATATCTACTAATCGTATTTGTACACGTTAAGTCCGCTGTGATTGGTTGGTGAGTTCCTCAAGGCTAAGCTTTGTCGTTGCTTTTTCTCATGACTCAGATTCGGGACGTGAACATTGATGTAAATTATTGTCTACAACTTTGTCTTGCAGACAGCTCTCACCACACTATTACAGTTTAGTTATTTAAGTCGCTACTGTACCTCTCATCCAATTTAGAGAGGATTGATAAGGAAATGAATCATACAACCAAAATTGGTTATTATTGTGTCTACACCAGTGTGACAGACTCTGAGCGATATCGCCTGAGACTTGTATAGAAAAAAGTCTGTTTCGTTAAATTACAGTCATGTGTATTAAACGAAAGGTGTATTGTTAATTGTAGGCGGTTGATTTGTATATTTCATTCACATTTTTCCTTTTTATTGTAGCGTGATGGTATCACACCAGCTGGAACACTTCAACGCGGTAGTAGTACTGAAAATGCATATGCAACTGGATTACGAGCTGCTGGTTCAAGACAAATATCTAGACGTACATTAGCCTCAAGTATGCTGTTCAACTCTGGAAGTTCTCCGAGTCCTCTATTATCAAATAGAATGTCTGTTCTTATGAATTCACAGTCCACTTTACTACCGAACACTACATCTCCATCAGCACCACCTGTAGGAACAGTTGCTACATTACAACTGGAAGTTCCACGACCACCTTCATTAATTCGTTGTGATAATGAACCAAATCGTGTTACAGTTGGACTTTTAGACTTACAGCCACGTTATGAATATGTGACTGTACCGAAACGTTCTCTTCATGCTTATTTGAAGGCGACAGCAGTTAATAACACAGAGTTTTCAATTCTTGCTGGTCCAACGAATATATATGCTGATAATACATTTATTGGTAAAGTAAGTGACTTATTATTTTAGTTATTATCATAATAACTGTTTCTCAAATAATCTATGTCTCCTAAAAGAATGTATACCATAGCTGAAAATGATTATGTCATGCGAAGCCATTTTTACACAGAAATAATATTAAGACAGGTAGAATAATTCTCCCCCATATAATATTCTGCACTTCTTAAATTGAAAGTTGTGAGACCTCAAACCGAGGTGTACTGATGCGTTATTATTATTATTGTTCATTTAGTTCCTAGTGGTACTTAGGGCTCCAGCAGCACACCTCTATCCTACTATGTTCTCTGACATCACTTTCAAGTGCTTAACTCCAGGATGACCGCCCACCCACAGGCTTTAATTTCCGGTTTAAGTGTTAAACTTGAAACTAGCTCCTTATTGTCCCTCAAATTCATCTTCACTTTTTTCTGTATATTTGTTGGTTTTGGTAATATGCCGTTGGGTGGTTCACTGCGTACCAGATTTTACCACGGGTTATCCTTTTTGGTCGGCCATCTGATGTTGATTATGACGTGAAGGGAACAGCTGTTGATGAAAATCTTGAGTAGGATGTTGGGAATGCTTTTTTTGATACGCCTATCAAGTGTCTAAACCATATGGAATCACAAACTTGTCATTTAGTGTCGGAAGTTAGAATGTTGTTCATTGTGATGTGAGTGCTGTTGATTTCCACACTGATTTAGAGTGTTTAAACTAGCAACTAGCTGTCTTTGACATCCTCATCCGGCTGACACTACACTTCATGAATACCTCTACTATGAATTAGTGTTATAAGCTTGGCATCTGCATGTTGCGTTGTACTTAACAACATACTAATAGACTCAGTAAAACACAAATCAACACACTATTCGATTTTCTCCCCAATCAAATTTGTTTGACTAAATGTTGTGGTCGTTTTTTTTCGGGCAGTGTAAAAGTTCATAACTGACCAGTTAAATAGTTCAAAAAAATAAATAATTTCACCTATTTTACTTTTAGTTTACTACTCTTTTCCGCTTGTCACTGTAGTCTGAAATACGTGCTGTTGCTCCAGGAGAAGAGTTCAGCTGTCATTTGGGTGCTGAAAACGGTGTCAAGATACTATATCGTCCATTGTATAAGTATCGTGAAGGTACTGGTTCTGGTGGCAAGAATGCAACAATGACATTTAAACAGTTAATTGAAGTTCGTAATACATTCGATCGTCGTATACGTCTCATGGTTGTCGATCAAGTCCCTGTCAGTGCTGAGGATAAAATCAAAGTAAGGCTTTCAGTACATTAAGAGTTGATTTTTAATCTCTTATTGTTTTCAAAACCCATGAAAGAGTATTCTCTTTTATTTTAATTTCTTGTATTCTGTACCGAACATAGAGAAGTCGTTTTAGCGGGATAGGAGATTGGTAGCTTCTTGCTCGACTTTCCTTTCTATCTATGCTTACTTTTGACTAGTAAATTAGTCGAGATTTAGGAACGTATGTGTCGCCAGTCGAACCCGAATCTCCTGCATGGTTAGAGGACATTTTCCTATTAAAAGGTCAATGCACATCGTCAAGTGACATAATGAGCACTAATTAGTATACCAAATATGTGTACTTATAAAGCACAGCGGTTAGCTCGCTCGCCGACCATGTACATGGTCCGAGGTCCGATCTCCGGCCGACGCACGCCTGATATCAATAGCTGGCCTGCTAAATTTGGGCTGTCGATATCATGTACTTGTACCAAAATACTGCGTGGAATCAAGCTATAATAAAATTTAATTAAAATTATTATTGATTAATGTGAGGAATCATATTGTATTTATCAAAGATTGAATGTAACTCATATACTTGCATTTTGTGACGAGATGATATGTGACCACAGTTCGTAGGTGTTTTTAGACGGCCTATTGTCTACACTGATGGGAATGTAATGAGTAAGTAGCCCCAATAACTAATATTTTGTGATAAGCGGGATTTTGTCGTAATCACGCAGAATGCTAAGTATTAACTCACAAACTACTGCTCATAATGATATGAGCAATAATTTGTGCTCGGAACGTCATCAGTTAATATTACTGTACAAGACTGTATGATTTATCAAAATAAAATCTTATCTATGATGGAGTTATACTCTACCACAGTGCCAAAGTTTTATACTTATATCAATAATGGAAACAAGCTGAGGTTTGGTTTAATTTGGAAACTTCTTTTGAATAAAATAGTCGTGCTATTCTAAGGAATATATATTTCATGGTCAAGTGATATTTTTTGTGCTTATTGAGGCAAAATATATTTCCTTATTTGCGTGTATTACTATGATATGAATTCTTTTGGGTAGTATCTTAAACTCATTCTACCGAATAAATATAAAACTTGGGCACTGTGGTAGAGTATAATTCCATTATAGATAAGATTTTATTTTGATAAATCGCACAGTGTTTACAGTTATATGAACTGATCAGTTCATATAACTGTAAACACTGCGATTTATCAAAATAAAATCTTATCTATAATGGAATCATTCTACCGAAATTTGTAATATGCATACTCATGCTACTTATAAGTAACAGAAAACTTAAAGCACAATTTCTTATTTCCATTGCACAGGTTAGTCTATTAGAGCCAACTATCAAACATCCCGAAAAATATGACAGAAATAAACCAATCAGAATGAATAAATATAACAATGTTGAATGGGATCTCGATTTAGGCCCAGGTGAGTTTATCTTTCCCACTCTTATGTTACAATCATTGTGAGTTGATAACAGTTGGAGATTCGTTGGATTTCATGCCAGTGGCTGCAATAGTCAACAAGCTCGCATCGTGACCTCAAGTTCTTGGGTTCAATCCCTTAGTGAGAGGGATCATCGGTGTGTCCTGCTGACTAGTACCGAAGTTTTCAAGGTCTTTCTGATTGGTGTCAGTAAATGACCTAACTTGAAACTAGTCATCACGAATATTGTTTAACTTGATATTGAAAGTACGGAATGTAGTTTATGTGAATCTAAAGACTATCTGTTTAATGTTGACGCTTTGAATTTGTGGAGTGTGATTTGGCTAATATGGTCTCATAGTTATCTCAGAGAGAGAGAGAGAGTATACTTCATTCGATTCTCGTTTATGTTTTTTTTTTTTAGTTGGCGAATGAGACGAGTGTTGCTGGTCAATAAGATGGGAAATAAGATGCTCTTTTAGTAAGATAAATAACTGGTTAGAATGTTATAATGTGAATTGAAATACATATTAAAATTATTTATTATTACCTTTTGATTTGACTCGCAATAATATCTACCATATTTCTGGTATTTGCATTTGAGTCATGTGTTGGGTGTAGACTCGGTGAACCAGGATTCAGTAATCTCTCTTTCTCTCTCTCTAACTCCCCTTACCTATATCACTTTTTAGAATTTCGACTTTGTCCCACCTACCGTATTGTGTGGTTGTGTGTTAATGCATGCTGTGGAATGTAGTGCTGAGTTATTTTTCTAAATTACTTCTCTTCGTAGTTGGGATCAATCATTCTAACCCTAGTTAAATTCTTATGTTCTGATCATCTCACTACTTCTGACCTACTAGTTTGACTTATGTACTTGACCTCACAGTCACTGTAAGGTTAGAATGATTGATCCCACCCGTGAAGATAAGTAATTTAGAAAACAAACTCAGCAGTCGTACTGTATGCATTAACACGGAACCACACAATACGATGGCTGGGACAGAGTCAAAATTCTAAAAAGTAATATAGGTAGGTAGGTAGAGAGAGAGAGATTGATTATTGGTTCCTGGTTCATCGAGTTTACACATCCGATACATGCAACAAAAATGACTCGACGCAAATACCAGAGATATGGAAGATATTATTACCGCCGGTCAAATCAGAGGATAATAAGTAATGTTAAAATGTCAATTTCACTTCACAATATAACATTCTAACAAGTTACTTATTTTTGACTATAAAAACATCTTATTTCCCATCTTATTGACCAGCAACACTCGTCTTAATTCCCATCGTATTATACTTATTGATAACACTATTAGTGGTTCCGAATGTACCTCTATCTTCCTTTCTGTTTAACGCAGTTGTTATATTGATTTTATTCATATGTCTAATCATCAATTTTTACTCATGTATATAAAAGAAAAGGCACAAACAGCGAAGAAAATTTTCTTTTCGACGATTCATTTTCATGAGCTGTACAATCGTAATTATAATTAAACACATAAGTTTTTGACCAATCAGATACTGGTAAACTTTGTCCTTGAAAATTCTACTACATAGTGTGAGGTGTAAGAAAGGATGACTAATTGTACGTTAGAAAGGAGACAGAAGTTAGCATGACCTAATAAGTGTGAGATAATGACTAATCAATAAGCTAGTGTAGAGTGGACAGGATCTAGTGGAAAGGTTATACAGTAGTTTTGTATAAGATCTGTGTGAAAAAGCAATGTTATTAATAAACAGTCATAGAGTAGTAATAAAATATATGGATGGTGGGAATAGTAATAATAATAAAAGTATTTAGAACAGTAATAATAATAAAAATAATAATAATAGTGAACTTACATATTAAAAGAGAGGAGAAAAATTATGATAAGAAATTTACTCTGGCCATGGTAGGGCTAGAGAATGTATGTATCTAACTTACAATTAGTCATCCCTTCTTACACCTCACACTATGTAGTAGAATTTTCAAGGACAAAGTTTACCAGTATCTGATTGGTCAAAAACTTATGTGTTTAATTATAATTACGATTGTTCAGCTCATGAAAATGAATCGTCGAAAAGAAAATTTTCTTCGCTGTTTGTGCCTTTTCTTATGACTCAATATGGGAGTATATAAAAGAATTAAGAAAGTTATGTGAGTACTGCCTTGATATGATTATGAGCAGTAATAAATTGTGCTCGAAAGTTGGTTGTTAGTAAATGATATTACTGCATAACCATATGTGAGATTTTATCAAAACAAAATTCCATTCCATCATGAAGTTATACTCTACCACAGTGTCCAAGTTTTATCCTTATATCTATTTATCTCCACTTTGACCAGTGACTTCACATTTGAGAAAAATTGGAATAAATAGTGCTGAATGGAAGTGAAACTCTTATTTACTAGTTAGCGGGGAGTCTATTCCACTTTGAAAGCTTCTGTTAATAACAAACTTTACTTGATGCTACAATCTACTGTGTAATATTGAATGTCACACGATATCTATAAATTTACAAGAGTTAAAGTTAGTTGATAAAACAACTGGTTGATGAATTCTGTGATTTTAAAGAGTTCATCCGTATACTGACCAGCTAGTCAGTGACGATTGCATTAGATATCAATAGGAGTTAATTAACATTGAATTAGTTAAATAAACCTTACCTCCAACCATCTAATCTAATCAAATCAATGTGTATCATGATGGTAAGCTACCTTAGAATGGTGGCCACATTGCAAACCTGACTGATAGAATTCAGTCTGCACAAAAGAAGGGACTAGACACATCATTAGTGTCGAATCAAAGTAACCACTACAGTCCTACAGGAGGTCAATCGCGAGCCCAGTGGCAACATCTCTGACTTCAGGCGGCACTGGGTGATGCGGGTTCGAATCTCAGAAGGGATATGAATTCCTTCAAGGTTGCAGATACGCCTTGTCGACTGGTGAGTGAGTACCAACTAGCACGAAACCTAGGCCGAGCAAGGCTTCCTACGACCGATTGCCTCCAATCGTCTAATAAACCTTGATTTCGCTTAACATTCACTTCCCATTCTCTTCTTCATGGTATTATTATTGTTATATTTTTTCTAGGTGAAATACGTGAACTAACATTGAAGTATTCTGTGGAACATCCAATCAATGAAGACCTGGATGTTTCTGTCTCTGAAATATGAAGAGAAAAAATATTGAAAGAGGAAAAAACAACAAAGCAGGTGATGAATAGGATGTGAAAACTCCATACTTTATTGATTAGGCTATAGGATGTGTATGTGTATGTGTGTGTGTGGGGGGGGAGGGGGGTTGGGGTGAGAGTGAAGAGAGAGAGAGAGTGTGAGACACAGAAACTGGAAACTCGGTCTGTTTCATTTCCTTTTGCTGTTGTTATTTTGTTTTTTGTTTTTTTCCTTCAATATTGTCTCAGCTTTGATCACTTTAATATCGGCTTATTATTATTATTATTAATAATACAGTAATAAAATTAACTATAATAGTAATAATAATATTGTTATTGTTTAATGCTAATGATAATTATTATTGCTGAAATTTGTTTAACCCCATTTTCGCTGATATTTCGTACCCTTTATCCCCCTTTTAATTTTATGATTTCATTGGTAGTCACTGCTTTAATCGATGCTGTTCACATAAAAAACATCCAGTTTGAGTGAGCAATATTATTCCCATTCAACATGGTTTTAGTGAGAACAAACAATCACGGTCACACACACTCACACACACACACAATAAATGCACACATGCGTTTTTCGAACTTGAACCAGTAACAATCACACACACACACACACACACTAGCTTATTCTGTTGACCGATGGACTGGTTGATTGGTTAATTCTCCTATTTTTCATAATTTTTAGTCGACTGCCTTTGTTAATTTGTTTCACCATCTTTCTCAAGATAGATGAGAGGACACAGATAGTGTCACAGTGTTGTGAGCCGTTGTTCTCATCTGCTAATAAGCATGAAATATATATACATACAGTTGTGTGTTTTTTATCGATTATCCCAGCAGCTCTCGAATTTCTGCAGCCAGTATACTACAAGTAACACAAACTCGACCAAAGCACACTGACATTCATGCGCCACACATTTAAATGCATTATACTGTATGCATAATAAGACACAATGTGCGTTAAAGCTAGTTAAAGCATACACATATATACATACAAACACGCATACATACAAACATACATACACCTATTGAAATCATAAATGTACACAATTACCATCCGGGATCTTATACTCAAGTGATAATTAAGAGCTTAGGTTCATCCACTAACTTATCTTTTCCAATGTCTTCAATATTGGCTTTTATCAATGATACTACCTTCTTGATCTCTGATTTTGATCTAATCGTTTTCTTTGTGTTGGTTTGTTTTGCGCACAGTTCTGTTTTCCTTACTGGTTTTTTTATATTATATATATAATATAAATGTTAAAATACACTTAATAATTTATTCTGTTTTCGTTTTGTAATTCGTATTATTTTGGGGAATCACTACCATTATTATTACTACTATTATTATTATCATTAATATTACCAGTACTGTTATTACTATTACTATTATTATTACTACTACCTTAATTCTTCTCGCTATTCATATTTTATTGACTTACCTGAAATATTTGGTGTTGCGCTTTTCGACCACGCTTTCTTTCTTTTTTTAACCTTTTATTATAATGAATTCCAATTATTTTGCTATTATGCGTGCGTTGTCATTTCTAATTATATATACATGCTATGGATTGGGGTGATGAAGGCTTTGCCTGACTTCACAATCAAGGCATGACACACAGACAAACAAGCATACACCGGCAGACACTGGATGAGACAACTGGAGTTGTTTTGTCGTTTGTTTGTCTTTTTTGGTGTTTTCCCTTTGGGCAAAATACCCAACCTTGTTTATTTATCGATTTTCAGTTCCTATTTACACTTCACTGTTGTATTTTTGCTTTTGAATAACACCAAGGAGTTCTCTGTGTGTGTGTGTGTGTATCCAGGGGGTGTAGGAGGAAAATAGGGAGGATAGGAAGTCAAAGTTGTCGAAGTTATATTAGTGTTGGTGCGCTTTGGTTTATTTGCTTTTAATTTGAAATTAAATTTTTTTTTTCTTTCATAAATATGCAAATGTTTTATTTGAATTATTATAATTAAAAACATTTTTGAAAAAAACATACTCTATAATATATATTAATATATTTAATGAACAAACACAGTTGTAAGACAGCCTAACGGATTGTTATTAACTTATTCGCGTTTATTATGATTTCCGCTGTCGGTGAAGCCAATCTATGTGTGTATATATGTGTGTATGTGTGTTGTGGTGAGGAAAACAAATACCCAGGAGGGGTAGTATTGCCTGCCTGATTAGTAGGCGACTATCTATCGTTCTCCACATGCCTCTATTTCATTTCCGTACTCAGTTGTGTTTTCCCGTATGAATGAATGTTAGGTCATGCAAATTCCGTATTGTGTATACTGCTCGTTTCTGTCAGTCGGCAAATACTTATTCATTCTGTGTAGAATTCTACAGGGAATTTCAAACCTGTCTAGTAGTGACACGAGAGGTTTCACAGGTAAACAGCAGCTATAAGACTTTTGCAAATGAATCAATAAGATTTTACTAGATATTGGAATTCTCCTCAGAACAGGCTTGATTAATATCATTATCATCATTTAACGGTAACTGAACACTATTCGATGCTATAAAGTATCTGTTTATTGCAATCAGCTCGAAAAATTGAAAAATAGTATGACTGTATTCATCTCTGTCGGATAGCTAACGCATCCACTGCCACATGTCCATAATATTATATATATATAGTTTATATTCTATACCATATCTTTTCATTTCTTTGGCCACTTGAGCAGCCTGCCAGTTTTCGTACCTTTTACAAACATGACACTTTTTCTTCCTCATTCTTGTGTTTCCTCGACAGGAGACATATTGAATGATTGACTTCTTGAAGGTTTTCACCAGCCCTCAGTATTTTGTTTCTGAGATGGCAGCAAAGAATAGGACTGTTTTTGAAATTTTTATGATTTTCCTTGTGTGTTTTAGTTTTGTAGCAGTTTGATTGATGTTAATAAATTCACAACACAGCGCCGTGACCAGTAGGGTACAGCAGGGCGAAGATGAGGCAATAACCCATGGAAGAAGACACTGCAAAATGGTCACGCTGTCTCGTGAACTGGCAGAAGTTAGAATTCATGGGCGATTGGATCGGGTCCCAGTGACTCAATGGTCTACGAAATCGCTTGCCTTGTAACCAGAAGGCCCTGGGTTCGACCCCTGGAGGTGGGTACGTACTGCTGAAGAGTTTCATACAAGGACAAAATAGCTTCCCAGTACTCCCAGGTGGTTTTCCAATGGTTCTCTAACTGATGTCAGCTCATGATGAAATCCTCCATACAATCAAACAAAATCCCTACAAAACCAATACTTGAAAATGTTAATAAGTACACAAATCATATAATTGTTGATGTTTCTACAGTTAAGCTTATTACTACTACACTAATCCCATGGTAATGAATAGTTCTCTTCATCCATTGTAAACATCAACCGCAGTAAATGTGCTATTCTAATGCAATACTGCAGTTTAGAAATTTTATCACATACCTACTTCTGTTTACAGTTGAAAAGACCTTCATTTTTCTGGATGTAATAGTTAAAGAAAACTTGTTCTGAATAAAGAATACAAGAATATATTCTGCTACCTTACATGATATTTCTTTCCAGCTGGTGAACTGTGTAAGGCAATCTCAACTGACGTTGATTTCATTGCTCTGAAAGCTGAATTGTCAAGGCAGAAAGGTAGTTAGAATCGCATTTCTCTGAATTCGTGCAAGGAATTAATGTAATAGGGAAGGTGTTCAATAGGCAATTCTTCTTACCATGGAACTATTGAGTGACATATATATATATATATATATATATATATATGCCAGCGCGGTCCACCAAGTCAGATAAGAGATCAGTTACTAGCCTATGACATTGGCTGGCGGTTCGACTATATATATCACAGATTGACAGAAGTTGGAATTCATGGACTGGACATTGTATTGGGACCCAATGACGGAATGGTCCACGAGCTCGCCTTGCAACCAGTAGGTCCTGAGTTTGAACTCCAGTGGGTGCGTACTGATGAAGAGTCTGATAGGACACAGTATAAAGTAGTATATCATCCTTTCTCACGAATCGTGTGGTTTATCTTGTGATGGAGTTACTATGTTGATCTATCATTTCTCACGCCTATTGTGATTCAGTGTGTGATCAATTCATCGTCTTTATCTCACCTTGGTCTTTGTCGGATCATCAACCAATCAGAATAGACATTTCCAGCCAATAAGAACAATCCATTTCCACGGTTGTGAGCCAACTGTATTGTGATAAATTAAAAATGTAAATATAATATTTTGTTTCCTAATAGATGTATAATGCAGTATCTTTCAGTCACAGGCCAGTCTTTGTCTTTTGATTTTTGCGTGGCTCAGTGCTACGGAAGGTACAACGGACAATAAACGTATTAGCGTACCAGCCGAGTTCATTACCGTCATAGTAATTAACAGGCGTAGACACAAAAAAGGTAGCTGCGGAATTTATTCAGATCAGTACAGTTATAACAGAGTCCCCTCTGTCTAGTAATCGCACGTTTTCCAGTAGTTCTTCAACCAATAAAATCCCTGCAAACCGACATTTTTATCCACATCGGAATCGATGTTCAATTCTTCAGTTGATTTGCAATGATCCTTTTCTCATTAATTCTCATTATTGTGTTGGACTTCAAAAATTATCATTATTCACAAAGGAAAGTGTAATCAACTGAGTCACAGTCGCTGGATTTCGTGAATTTTCTAGTTGTTCGTTTCCACATTACTGAAACTATCGAATTCTGCCATACAGACTCCTAGATTGGTTGGCATCATCTGGTGTTTGACAGTTCAGAGTGCAAGTTTAGTTATGTGTTTGGAATTCGTCAACTGCATAATACCGAGTGATGTTCTCAGTAGAAATACCATAACGGACTAAAATAAACGTATTTTCTACTGATTAGTCCGAAACAAGTAGAAATTTGCCTTGTGGGTTTTACTGACAACCAGGTAACATAAAAAGAATCAGATTGTCTAGGGAAAACGGGAAAATATAAAAATATCAGTTCA